TTGTTATTGGTCTGTTTAAATTGTGTGTGTCTTCCTGACTCAATCTGGGCAGATGGTATGACTTAAGAAATTTATGGATATCTTCACTATCTTCTATTTTATTGGACTATAGAGTTTCAAAATACTTTCTAATTATCTTCTGTATTTTTGTAGTGTCTGTTGTGATATTGCCTTTTTCATCCCGTATGTTAGTAATTTTTGGATATTGTCATATTTTTTCTTGCAGAGCAATCTATTTGCTATTCTATACCAACTAGGAATGAGCTCATTGCCACTATGCACCATCCTGCTAAGTACTAATGATAGGGATGTGTTTAATTTTGGCTGTTCTAACTGTCATGGGTAGCATATGTTGATACTATTCATCCAGTTTGCATAAGATTTAAAATTCATAGTTGAAGAACTAAATAAAATTGTTAAAAGACTTAGGCCAAATTTTAATAATGTGTTAGAAGGATTTGCTGAATTTGAATGTTGTTTATTAATTGTCTTTGATTCAGCACGAGTGTATTACATTTTTAAGTTAATACCTTTTTATAGTGTGAACATGGACATAGTAAGACTTACGTTTTAATCTTGAGTTCAGAACAGACCTGTTACCATTGTAAATATAAGAAAATTCATTAATGTTTTATCTACTTAAAAGTTTCAATGGTTATCAAAGAATTTATAAAAGACTTTAAATTTTTGTATAATATTGACTGTAAAAGTTCAGCTTGTTTGATGTATGTGGCATAAAATGTATCTGAAATTGCTAACAGTAAAGAAATTATTGCCTTCAAACTTAATACACGTAAGAATAAATTGTTCATGTTATATGGCACTAATCTTTTACAGTAGATTTTTATATATCATAAATATTAATAGTTTGTTTAAGTCTGTTACACTATTTTAGTGCTAGCATAATGTGTGTGTACGTTAAAAATTTGCTTGTATGTGCCATGCTATTGTTTCTGAATTCCTGTACCTCATCTGATGACTGTCCTCCTAGATTTCCTCCATTATCAAGCCTCTTTTAAATATAGTTAGTCACTGTGATAGGCTGTAGTGCCTTTTCAGGAGAACTCATCAACTGTAAGAAAATGCACATTCTTGATAAGGATCTCTGAAGGTTGATTTTGCATAGTGTCTCATTTTAAAATGGAATCAGTGCATTTTACTCCCTGCAGAAGTAGAACTGAGTTAAATTCCATTAAATTATTGCTATTATCTAAATGAACATTTTAAAAGAGAAGGAAATGCTCAATGAAAGGAGAAGGGGGAACAAATCCTCACTCTTACTATGTAATGCTAATAGATAATAGTAGGAAAACTTTAAGCTTTCTGAAAATCTTTCTTTTTGGTGAATTTGAGAAGATGACTTCCCAGTTGTTATATGAAATATTATGTACAGAAAGAGGGCCAAATCCATGTCTTAAAAATTAACTTTTTTTGTGATTTCTGGAATTGGTTTTAGGATATGACAGCTCGTGATCTGCTCCAGCAGAGATACACACTTCCAAATGGAGACACTGCCTGGAGGTCCTCACCCCTTGTGAATGCTGCTCTGGAAGGCAAGCTGGTCTTGTTGGATGGCATTCACCGGGTCAATGCTGGCACACTTGCTGTATTGCAGAGGTTTGTATGAGTCACACACTCATACACAAAAAACCCAAAACACACAAATATGCAGACAAACGCCATGTCCACTTAAGCAGTAGACATGGATTGCTCCAATATTTTTTTAAACTGGGTTTCTACATCTTGAAAAGCTCATATTTCCGTGTCCGAGTAGAATGTGAGATTACTTATTTTTACAGATATATTACAGCAGAAATCCAAATAATGAACATTTTGGGAAATGCCATAGCCATAACGTTTTTTTTTTTTTCATAGCTGAAAAAAAATTTCTCAATAATTTTGAAGGACTTTATATTTGCAGATTTACATATGCAACAAATTACACAGCTGGAGTTTCTGTATTTTTTTAGAGTTATAACTTCACTAGTTACAAATTCCATATTGATCTGGATCTACATTATTGGTTAATTTTGTTGGAATCTTTGTTTTTTGAGAAAGAGAAAAATTTTTCTTTAATATAAAATGTTTTAGCTATTTGATTATATTGTATAGAGATTAGAAAAGCTGATTTTGCAGTAATAAACTTGAAAATTTATGTCACCATTTTTTAAAAAAATTTATTTTAGTTTAGATGGAGAAAAATATTTACATATTCTTAAAACTTCTGTAGAATTTAGTGTTGAGAGAAGCCTCTTCATGTGTAATTTTTGTGGAAAATATTTCTACTCTGTGTCATTTTAGAAAAGTAATTAGTGATATTTTTTATTCTTCTTGGTTCTATGATTTGTGGACATTGATTGTCAACTTTGAATTATAGGAAAGAATCAAATAAGTGCAATAAGCCATTTCCCCAACTAACTATTCAAAAAGTTTTTGTCCTTGACAAAATGCAGACAGTATATTAAAGATCCCAAATGTATTAATTCTAATTAGATTTGAACACATTTAAAAATACTATCACAAACTTTCAGTGATTTACCATAAATATTTTATACTTATAATATTTTTATCTTCCAAGGAGAAAAATGTGTAGACAAAAAATAAAATAAAGTCACCTTTTATTTACTGTCTCTTGAATGTTCAGCTAAGCAGGAATAGCAGCAGCAGCAGCTATCATTAATTGAGTACTTACTCTGTGCTGAACATTATTTTAAGACAGTGCTTCTCAGGTTTTCAACCTTGAAATTAACAGGTTGGGAATTTAAAAATACTAATGCCTGGGTTACACCCTCACAAATTCTGATGTTAATTGGTTCAGGCTGAGGCTTGAACATTGGCATTTTTAAGGACTTCCCAGAAGAACTTAATGTAAAATAAAGATTGAGAGCAACTCTGTTAATCATTTTTTTATATTATTCAATTTTCATAGAAACTCTGTGAGGTTGTAAAATTATTGCCTTAATTTTGTAAAAGATAAACATGTAGAGATGTTACTCCCTCTCATTCAGGGAGTAAAATGCCAAGCTAGAGTTGAACCCAGGTCTGGCTGAGTCCACTGCCCATGCCTATAACCTCTGCATTATAGACCCATAGAATGGAGAGTGTGGCAGCTTCTAACATGGGTGTCATCAGACTTAGTGGTTGGTGCTTTTTGACTTTTGCAGCACCTGGAACATAGTGCTGTTTCTGGTGTAGATGTCTAGCCCAGCATCAGAATTGGCATATGAAATATCAGTGTAGTGGGGCCGGGGCTGTAGCTCTGTGGTAGAGCGTCTGCCTTTCACGTGTGAGACACTGGGTTCGATCCTCAGCACCACATAAAAACAAATGAAATAGGGGCATTGTGTCTAACTATAAATAAATAAATAAATAAATAAATAAATAAATAAATAAATAAATAAATAAATAAATACTTAAAACAAAGAAATAGCAGTGTAGTTATTTCATTATGAAGATTTTTGATATTTAAAAATCATCTAATTCCAAAGATAGAAATATTTTGATAATACTTTCCTTCAAAGAGTTTTATCAGATTCAAGTGTATGTGCCAACTGCCTTGCTCAGTAATATATACCCTATGGTAATTCTGAGACACTCATTCAACTGTTTCTTTTTGTTCCTCTTCTCCACCTTCTTGCCACTCTTTCTCCTCCTTCTCCTCTCCCTCCCCCTCACTGGCTACATCTAGTATTTGTGACTGTAGTTCTCCAGTACAGAAAATAAATTTTGCCAAATATAACAGCACTAGCCACCTTGAAATCTTGAAAAATCCATCTAAGGAAATAATTTGATTCAAGTACAACCTATAATAGACATGATTAAAATGTCGATCGAGTGCTTCTATTTCTAATAATGTCACTGTTCAGAATTGGCTAGTTTGTTTTCTGACATTCCCTTTATCCCACTAGGTTGATCCATGACCGAGAGCTTAGCCTCTATGATGGTTCTAGGCTGCTGAGGAAAGACAGATATATGCGTTTGAAACAAGAGCTGCAAATGTCTGATGAGCAGCTACAGAAGAGGTAATTTTGAGTGCCCTATTGTTATTGGTAATTTATTGCTAAGTAAAATAATGTTTATTTTTTTCCTAAACCTGGGGTCAAACCAAAACATCTTTGAAAAGCTTAATTATTTGGTGTTCTGAGCATGATAAAAGTTTGGCACTCCCTAAAACTTGCGGTTGCTATCCGGGATACATGCGCGCGCACACACACACACACACACACACACACACACACACACATACACACATGCACACTCACACACGCTTTGTCTTCTCAAGCTTCTTTTAACTAAATGCCTAAACTTTGGTTTTGTTACCGAAAGCTCTGTCCTTGTCCCCAATGTCAGTCCCGTAATGAGGACACCAATTTGAGAAAAAGGAAAAAGAAGTTTTAATGCTTTGCTAGCAAAAGAGAAATACAGGGGATTCCTGTCCAGGAGGCTGTGATTCTGCCCATCAAGGGCAGCAGGGAGCTTTTAAAGAGGTGATTCAAAGGCTACATTCCAGGATTCTCTGTTGGAGTTGTGATTCACTTGTTAATTTGGGAGATAGTCATTTTTGAGATCTTGTGGTACAATCCCAAGTCTGAATGACTTTGTGGATATGTGCTCAAGGACAGACAATTCTGCTTAGGATGGGAAAGAACAGCGGACCCCCACCCCCCCACCCCCATGAGATTAGGGAGGTGGAGAGACCAGGAAGGAGTAGGGAGAGAGGAAGAGAAAGAAAATAAGTCACAGTGGCAGAGTAGCAAGGGCTATACCCAAAGCACAAAGTGGACCATTGTTACAATGTTAACAAAGTAATGCCCCCTCTTTGTCTTACCAATTCAGTTTGGTCTCATTCTGTGTATTCCCTCAGCAAAACAAAAGCTGGACCCACAATTAACTGGATCCATTCTCCTAGGAAGTCTTCAGTTTTACCCAAGAAGGATGCCACCTGATAACAGTGTTAACCCAGTGTGGCTTATCTAAGTCTTCTTCCAGGGATGTGACAAATAAATACGATGGGTGAGACTTGATTGGATCCTGGAACAGAAAACAAAATGAAAGCAGCTATAAAAGACAAGTAGGAAAGGTTAAATATTAACTGTGTATATATTACATGATGTTAAATTCATATTAATTTTCCTAAGTATCCCAATGATATTGTGGTTATATAAGAGAATATTACCATTTTTAGGATTTGCTATCTGAGATTTTTAGAGATAAAGTAAAATATCTATAAAACTTACTTCAAAATGTTTCATGGGGAAAAAAAGAAAAAAAAATAGATACATGTGTGTATGTATGTATACAAAACACACACGAGAGAGAGATAAGTGAGAGTGAGAATACAAATGTGATAAAATCTTAATAACTGAAAAAAAAAATCTAAGTGAAAGATATCATAAGCCCCCGCAGGGCTTACTGCCACATTTTAAACAAGAAAACCTTACAAAAAATAATGAAGTGTATTTATTATTGAGTTTATGTTTTTAGTGAAATTTTGCTTTAAAATTTCTTTGTAATGTTTTCTTAGGGGGAAGTGTTGAATTCCTTACTATCTTTGTATAAGTTTTTAAACATCTCACTTGATTATACAGCTGCTTATGCTTCTAGGGCATGCATTATCAAATTTCTGTAGCCCAGAAACTGGTCCAATTGAGGGTTTAAGTTCTAAAATCCTTCTTATTTCATACTTTTTTTTTTTTTAAAGAGAGAGAGAAAGAGAGAGACAGAGAGAATTTTAATATTTATTTTTTTTAGCTTTCGGCGGACACAACATTTTTGTTTGTATGTGGTGCTGAGGATCGAACCCGGGCCGAACGCATGCCAGGCGAGCGCACTACCGCTTGAGCCACGTCCCCAGCCCAACATTTCATACTTTTGATTGATAACATTTGGCGTTTGTATATTATTTGCATGTGAATCACAAGTCAGGAAAGAACTCATATTTTCAGAGAAATAAATAAAAGCAACTGGGCAATAGCTCACAGCAAGCCTGCCTAGAAGTTTCCCTTAAGACATCAGGTTCATTGATCATTATACTTGACACCAAATGTCCAGGAAATGACACTTCTTTTCTCTGAAAAGAACCCAAGTTCTCCTTTATGATCACAGCAGTTTTACAAATAAAAACAAGGAACAAAGTGGCCCTGAGCATCACATGCTAGGTTTGGCTCACATTCCACAGTAGTATTTCTTTCTCAAAATTTTCTACCTGTGTTGTTCAGTTTTTTCTCTTTTACAAACGTAATCCTGCTCACCTCTATTTCCAGAGGAGGGAAAGTAGAGAGAAATCATAGCAATACTTGCTTTCTTTCATTAAAATTTTTTTGTTTGACTATTTACTAGTGTTAACCAGGCACTGAAACTAGAACCTGATAGTGTTTTATGAAAAATGCTTGTCCCATGTCATTGATTCTATGAAAGTCTCTCATTTCCCTCTATTCTCTTCCTAAAGGCCACCACTTTCATCTCTTCGTTTTGGTATTTACCTCTGTCACTAAGCAATATGCTTTCATTGGTATCTCTTTCTTTTCTTTATTTTTATTCTTGAAGTACTGGGGATTGAACCCAGGGGAGCTCTACCAATGAGCTACATCCCAGACCTTTTTACTTTTTATTTTAAGACAGGGTCTTAGTTGCTGAGGCTGGCTTCAAGCATGGAATCCTCCTGCCTTAGACTTCAAAACAGTTCCACTGATATTTCTTGATTTATTCTTTAGTGTTGTCAATTACATATTGATTTTCTGCATAGATAATTAATGTTTGGCTCTTTCACTGTCTCTTTTGTGTCTTTCTATCCACCCATTCTTCCTAAAGATTATATAATTTTGTTTAGAACTTTGTCTAATTTTTACACAATTATGACAGCATAAGAGTATATACACCTGATTCATTTAGTATACTATAATCATTTCTCCTTTATACATACCTCTTTTTTTCCTAAAATTAGTAATTATTTGCATATGTAGAGAGATATAAATAATTGCAATCCAGTTTTGCATGTTAGAATAGAGATTTGTACAATAGTATTTTGGGAGCACTGAGTGGGGAGACAAGTATTTTTTCATGAACAGATAAAAAAAAGTGTTTTAGTCAGCTTTTTCACTTTTTTGACCCAACAAGAACAAGTTTAGAGGAGGAAAAATATATTTTGAAGCTTACAGTTTCAGAGGTCTCCATCCACAGATGGTTAGTTCCATTCCTCAGGGCTTAGGTAGGGCAGAACCTCATGTTGGGAGTGTCTGGTGGAAGAAAGCAGCTGGGAACAAGACATGAAGGGGTGTGTTTGTGTGTGTGTGTGTGTGTGTGTGTGTGTGTGTGTGTGTGTGTGTAGAGAGCTCCACCCTCCAAGGACAAAATATATATCCCAAAGGCATGTCCCCAGTGACTCACCTTCTTCAGCCATACCCTACTTGCCTACAGTTACCACTCAGTTAATCCCTATCAGGGGATAGGGGATTAATGCTCTGATTAGGTTAAGGCTCTCTCATAACACAATCATTTCATTGTGAACTTTCTTACATTGTCTCACACATGAGCTTTTGGAAGACATCTCACATCTAAACCCTCTTTTTATGTATGTCTCACTTTTCCATCTGAAACACTTCCTCTGATGTCAAAATCTCTCAGCATATTGAGGTAGTCCTATAATTATCAATTACATCTTCTATCAGTTTCACCTTTCTCCAGCAGAGTATTCAGACAAGCACTTATCTGGAGTTCTTCTATTTTTTTTTTTCCTGTGGTGTTGGGGATTGAACACAGGGCCTTGTGCATGTGAGGAAGCACTCTACCAACTTATTCATTCCTCATCAATACTCCTCCTTTGTATCCAAAAAACAATATTTTCTTATGATATTAAAATGTTATCTATTTTGTTGTTAAACATTGCCATGTTACAGAATCTGCTTCATTCTGATGGTTTGGGATACAAGTAAATTTATTTGCCTTTTCCTGGTTAACCTTGATTTAATTTGGTAAACTGTTTTTGCCTTTCTCTGAATAAATACATTCTCTTTTACAATTATAACATTTTACAATTACAACATTTCTTATAAGTCAGTTGACAGTATTTCTTTCAGGACTGTATTTATTATATAACAGCTTATTATAACTGTGTTTATTGCCTAACAGCTTGACTAGAAGGACATAGTATGGTATAAAAACAAAGAAATTTGTACTCAGCAAATTAATTTACATCATGAATTGTTCTTGTGAGTAACACAATCTGTTATCTAGCATAAGTTGATCTTATATGCTGTCCATATCTAATATGTCAATCTTGGCTACAAATTAGAAACTCATGACTTGAATTGTCTATCATTTCACTTCTGTACTTATTCACAGAACTAAAGTTCAGCAATGTGAATACTATTTTTATAATATTTAAACAAACTCAACCTTTATTTTATTTTTATTAATGCTGTGTTTCCTTATGGGAGATTTTAAGATAGAGAAAAAGGTCAAAAGTAGAATGACAAGAAAATTTTTGTTTTGTTTCTTAAAGGGGAAGAGTTTTGGAGAGATGGGGAGGGTGTTCTGGGATGGTATGTCAGTTGCAGTTGTCTAAGCTTCCATAGTCTTGCATAAAAATAAATCCCCTACCTCTGGGGATCAGGATTCTAAGAACAACTTCTACTAATCTGTGGAGTAATAACTCCTAACTTTAAAGCTTTTGTTCCAACTACAGTATTGGGTAATTTTGTTGAACAAGAATATCATAGAGGCAATCTCTAGAGTCAGTACTCTCTGGGTACTCAGGTGATTAGAATAATACCCAGACTAATGATTTGGTAGGACTTATTTGGAGATTATAAGCTTTTGTTATTGACTATTGGCATTACTTTACTCTTTCAGGTTAAATATTTATTGAATGCCAACTCTAAGATGATATAGTCACTTCCTGTTGTATTGCACCACATATGAAGACAGACAGATATGCAAACAAATAATTACAATGTAGCTTTTAAATATTAGAGTAGAGGTCTGTATAAGGGACCATGAACACAGGAGAGGGAGTGACTAGAAA